AATAAAATCGTACGGTGAAATCTTTGTTGGAATTTTTCCTGCTTCCTCGTGTTAGAGAGAGGAATCGTGTTTTTTGTGTAAGGGAATGACATATGTTAAGGCTGGCTTATTTTTTTTTTTATTTTGTGGTCTGGCATGTAGACGTATTTTCATTGTGTAAGCTGGCTATCATATTAACGCTAGTTTTTTTTGTAATTAAAATTTTGCATTTTCGTTACCACCTATGTCATTTCTTTTGGGTGACAAAGTGTAAACCGAATTGGGTAGTTTGTTCGCTCAAAAAGAAATTATTTCAACATTATAAAATAAAAGAATTTAATAAATAACCACACGTTCATTTATTAAATTTTATTTAATATTCGTATTTTTTTTTTGGACAATTCCGAAGAAATAAGTACGCTTTTTGACGTAAAAAAGTTATGACGTCACAAAAGGCTGTTTCACACAAAATTCTTAGAAAATGCCGACGTTATTTGACTTGGACTAGTTGGAAACTATTGTATTAAACAGATTTAATGTAATTCCTATTATTCACCAATAAGGTTATTAGGTACGTTTATTTCATAATGGACAATCCTTACCAGATTTATTTTTATTATTTATTAATGGATCCTTATCGGTCCAGACTCCATTTTATAAAACATTTTCATTTGTTTTTAGGAGTAGAATAGGTATCAAATACTAGATTCATGGCTGATGAATATACTGATGGTGTGGAACAGGTATCAAATACCAGACTCATAGTGATATTATTGCAAAATGTGATGTCATTGATGCATTCAATTTAATGTAAAGTATTTTAGATTTTCATAACAAAATATTTAAGGCAACATTTAGACGATTTGGTCTCGTATTGTAAGTTGCAATTATAAATAAATAAAAATAGCTTAAAAGTTCCGCTTTCAACCTTCCAACGAAACAACCAAATAAGTCTTACTAAAAGACCAATTCAACAAAATACAAAAGTTCAAAACTTAACCTCAATCACAATTAAGTCATAACTACTAGTTACATAAACAACCGCCAGAGGTCGCGGTATCGCAAGCGTAGACAATTTAAAACTTACATTTTTTTTATTACAAACAGTCAAAATTGCTATTCATTAAACGCAATAATAATTACAAATACATACATACATAATAAAATATAGGCCTACCGACATTTTTATTGTGTTATGTAATAAGTATTTTGTGTTGTTATTTACTTAGTACTGGAGTAATACCACGACCTCAAAGAAAACCGTCGTGAAACAACTATAGCGTTGTGTTTCGCCGTGTGAGTGAGGTTACCGGAGGCTCAAAAGGTTGGCAACGCAGTCGTAACTCCTCTGTTGTTGCGGGTGTCCATGGACGGCGTTGATTGCTTACCATCAGGTAATCCGTCTGCTCGTTTGCCGACCTAACACATAAAAAAAACTTATGTTTAAATCTTAGTGACTTTGTAATACATACAAGGATTAGTTGGGTTTCTTAATATTTATTGATTAATTGACTGCAATGAGTAAATATAATTGTTAAGAATGTGATTGAGGGCGCCCTTGTCGATTGAGGTTGTGTGGTGTCTGTTATTAAGCCTAGTATTTCGCAATGAAGTAGTTTTCCATGACTATTGACTATTACGAAAAATAATCACTGCATAGTATAAAATAAAGTCGCTTTCTCTGTCCCTATATTCTTACTTATGTATGTTTAAATCTTTAAAACTACGCAACGGATTTTGATGGGGTCATTTTTTAGATACACTAATTAAAGAGGAAGGTTTATAATTATAAACCTTTAAGTTTTTTATTATTAAATTTATTTAAAAAAAAATTTAGTCACGGGAATTAACTGAAAAAATCTGTACTAGTTTCAAGTTCGTCGCGCTACTGATTGTTGGCGGTTGGCTGCGTGACGTCGCCGACTGTGACTTGCATCAAGTATAGCTTTTCACAGTACATAAGTGTGGGAGAGCCAGGCTTCGAAACGAATGGCCCGCGTGAGGGGTTGTGGGATAAGCGCAATGAGGCACCGCGGTCTCGGTCCAAAGCAGAAGTAGGAACAAAGGTTTTTAGTCAGTAAGAGTCTGACAATATCTCTCTATACTCTGGGCGGGAGAAGTATTTTGAGGATTTTCCCCTGACAAAAAAAAAACCCCTTATTATGTCCATACAGCATAAAATAAAAGCCTAAATAATGTAAGTAGGTGATAATTATACATTGCAAAACTTGATTCACATAAGACAATGCGACATTAAGGCGTATAGCGAACCGTGTGAAGATGAACTGATTTCATCATTACAATGCTTATAATATTGATTACCTTCTATTGATTACTGTAATCGTATGTAATCTTAGTGATTAATCGTTTGTCATGTCTTTTTTAAAGGTTACTCTTTTTGTAATGTTGAAATTTGGTTTTGTTTACTTCTTAGCTACTGATACAGCTGCAAAGGTTAAGGGTCAGCGCTATGAAGGCACCATGGCTTTAACACGAGACGGAGTTAAGAGATGTGATAGGATAGCTAACGAGCTGACGGATTACCTGATGGTAAGCAATCAGTGCCGCCCATGACAACAACGGAGGAATTACTAGTATGTCACCGACCTTTTGGGGATTAGGCATTAGAAGATCTAGAGAATGGGAGAGGGGAAAGGATGAGGCCTTCGGTAACCTCAGTCATACGGCAAAACACAACACTGTGGTTGTTTCACGCCGGTTTACTGTGAGGTAACCGATACTTTGTCGACTATGTAAGAAATTATTTTGGCGACAAAATTTAAAAGATTTTAACAAATTTTTAAATTTTAGCAAATGAAAGATTAGAGCACTGGTCTCATTCGAGGTTTATATCAAGACTTTAAAAAAATGTCCGATTTAAACCTCATTTCCGAAACCTATTTTCTATACTAATAAATTATGTCGTTTATTTGTGAACCAAGAAAAACTTACAGCAATTTCAACTCTAAACTTCATTCATAAGTCGTAATTTCAAATAGCACTTAGTTTGCGCAAGAGTTCAATTTAATGTGTCAACTGAAGATCGATGTGCCAGATGTGTTGATGTATTATTTTGACACATTCTAGGCAATGTTATTATAATGAAGTAGCAAATGAAGGCTGATTTGTGTGGTGGCAATCTACGAAATTGCTTGGCGATTTTTGATGAGATATTTGTAGCAAGCTAAAGTATAATAATATTGAAAGATTTGTATCTTTAACGTCGGATGAAATATTGGCAGAATATGAATGCGTCCAGAGTATCACCGGTTTCACTCGCTGCTTGGCTCCATTTAATTGTAGCGTGATGTTTTATACCCTATTGCAATCAGGAACATTGTAGCTATCTATCAGTGAAAGGATTTTGGCAATCCGACCAGCGGTTCCAAAGATTACCCCCTACATACAAACTTACAAATTTTACCTCTTTATAATATTAGTATATGTATAGGTAGATAAATTTCAACCAGGTCCAGCCGTTTTGCGTGAAAGATTAACAAACATACATTCATACATTCTCAGAAATCTTTTATTCTTTTTTTGTGTTGTTTTGTTTTTTTTCTTTTTGTATGTTTAAAATGTAATTGTACTTATATATATTTTCTGTCGTGTGCGAGTCTCAATTGAATGGTTTTTCTTTCTTTCTTTCTTCTATTTCTATCCAGGGAAATCTAACATGGCTTCACCAGTCACGCTTTTAACAGACTAGTCAGCCGTGAATAAAGTTAAATAAAATAAATATATCTACTTAATCATGTATCATTTGTTTCGTGAGGTAAATCTCGATGAAATGTCTCGAATTTTATTAAAAGAATGATGCAAAGTCTGGATATCTGACTACCTACTAAAATATTTGAATTTATAACGTATTTTGTGTATACTATGAACTTATACATAATTATTATGAAGGTGGTTGTTACTTTTTTAAAAATGTTTTGGATAATATTTCTCTTGTAATAATGTAGGAACAAAGTTCGATTCTAAATTCAAATCGATTCTTTTTTTTTATTATATGGCTATTAAAATAGTTTTTATATACTTATTCATTTTCGAAATTATCGCATTAAAATGAAATGGGGTTAAAATTCGTTTTTAGTTGGTAAAATAGTAATTCTGTATAAAAAATATTTTTCAGGACAGGCTGATTAGGTATTCGTAACAAAGACCTAATATTAAAAACAAATTATAACAACATCTTTTTCGTTTATTTGTTTATTCGTAGGTACACTCTCACCTTCAGAACTATTGAACGAATTTAAATGAAGTTGTAGTTGATATGTACATATAATAATTTGCTTTGGAAACTGAACAAAAAAAAACAGCGTAAACTTCCTTCTATGCTGAATTGCTGACGAAATTTTAGACAGAAGCTTTACTTAATTATATATAAAACTGTATAAAACACAAAGAGAGAGAGAGAAAGAAAGAAACAAAAGAAAACTACTTCATTTAAATCTAATAAAATCATACCTAAATAAAGCTAACAATTAATCTTCTGCCATAATCACTCTTGATATAAAATAAATATACATTTATACCGACGTTTACTTTTTAAAATTTCGTACAATTCACATAGGTACGTAACATACTATCTGAATAGAGTCTTTTTTCCGAACAATTTAACATCTAATTAGCGAAAATAAAGTCAGTATAGTATTTTTCTTTATTTAAATTCTTTTGAAAAAGTTTAATTTTTGTTTTCTTAATACACGTTTTCTAGATGTGTTGTAACAATGTGTAAACAATGTTTTATACGGTAAGCAACCACGGAACAATTGAATTGTAGTAAAAAATGGCACAGATACTTCGTGCGCGTGTTAAAAGTTCAACTTTTCTGCGAGTTTAGGTAAACTAGAGATTGATTTGTACTTATTTCTTTTAAAAAATAATATTCGAGCTGCATGTTTGAAAACCATTGAAATTTTAAATTTAGAACAAGTACCTACGTATTTAAAACGTTCGCACTAAAATAAATTTAAGCGAATTACCACATAAAAATAAAAAAGAACAAAAAAACTCACCTTGAATTTCTTTTCTTCGAAAAAAATCAACGAAGAAGAAAATGAACTAAAACAAAAAAAATAAAAAACGTATTTAAAACTTTTATTGTAAAAAAAAATCACATCACTAAATCACTTTCCGATCTTGCAAAAAAGAACTCACATTTAAAAAAATCGTTTGAAATTCGCGGGTAATTTAAAAATAGAATGCGATTCGAGTCTATGACTGAATGGAGGCAAATGCACGCGTGCGAACCATAGAACACGCTTTTAACGCTCTCCCATACATAGATACCATTCAACATCGACCCCGCCATCCGAACTTTCACCTAACGACACAAGATCATAGTATTTTGGCTGTTAGAACCATAATATCAAGACCTCTATCTTAGAAAATTAAATTCCAAACAGAAGCTCAAAATACGTTTGTTTTATTTCACATTTCTGGGGGGATACAAAATTAATGAAGATTCAACAATTAGAATATAGTTTTACGCCGGTACTAGGTAAGACTTGCGTAAAATAACACAATAAGAACGGTCGAAGGTTTTTTCTATTCAAATGTCCGTAAATTAGCGTTTAAAAGATTTCACATTGATGCGTCGACATTTATTTAGTGTGTGTTCTAAATTTTTTGGACGTATCTGTTACAGTAATTTATTAGTAACGTGATGAAAACCTCCTTTGTTGCGTTTTTGCAATAAAAAGTTTTTTTTCCATAGACATATTATAATTAGCAAGCTATAGCTAATGTATGTATGTTTGGTTCCTAAAACGTCTGGTAATACTTATTTTTTTTAATCTCCATATCTCTATCTGCCTTAAGCAAGCGTGGTGATAAATGCTAAAACTTTCTCCGTGTAAGAAGAGACCTTTTCTCAGCAGTGGACACTTATGGGCTGATGATGTAAAATGCGCTTAGTTACATGAGACTCATTTAAAGACGCAGGAACGCAGCCCGCTGCTTACTAGGACCTGGTTTTGGTCGGGTGACATGTTACCCTTGCTGGCCGATCGCCATAGGTTGAGAGGGAGTGTCAGACTCCTACTGACCAAAAACCACCTCGTTCCTTCTCCTTCTTCAGGCCAGGGTTGCAGTATATTATTGCGCTAGCACCTACAACCCGGGATTCGACCTTAGTAAAGAAAGAAGGAAAGAAAAATGCACTTATTCGGCATCATACTTGAAAGCCAGCAAGGACCAAAAAAATACTTTCAACATAAAAAAAATATTAAAACAGACAGAAAAACAAAAATAATAAAGATTTTCTGGAAGAAATCACCTTGTGTGATAAGACCGCCCATTGTAATCACAACATTCGGTCATAGTATCCAATGTATTGCTACTTGATGTATGTGTGCAATAAAGTATTGTATATAAATAAATATATAAAACAGGCAAAATAATAATACATGGTAAAATAGACTAATAATCATGGTAAAACCTGCTACTCGGGAATCCGACTGGATACTATAATGGAATAAGTCAAGTTGAGAGTATTTTTTTTATGTGATAGGTCGGCAAACGAGCAGACGGATTACCTGATGGTAAGCAATCAGCGACGCCCATGGATACTTACAACAGAGAAGTTAGATACGTTCCGTTGTCGACCTTTTGGGGATTAGGGATTTGGAGATTCAGAGGAAGGATTGGGGGAGGGGAAGGTTGGGCCACCGGTAACCTCACTCACACGGCGAAACACAACGCTGTGGTTGTTTCACGCCGGTTTTCTGTGAGGCCGTGTTATCACTCCGATCGAGCCGACCCATTCGTGCCGAATCATAGCTCTCCCACACTGTGTAAGTATACTCAATTTTTATTACACACAGCTTACATAACATATTGACGGACCTCTCAACGTTCACGCACTGTTCTGACCTTTCCATTACTCTGTGGCTTTCAATACAAAGTAGGTACCTACATGACGTATATGTTTATTGGTAAAATACCGGCTGAGTTCCTTTACAATAGCACGGGTTTCTATACAAGCCTTGAAGTCCAAAATCTTGGTATTTAGATACCTATACAATATCACACATCACATCATCAGCCCATAAGTGCTCACTGCTGAGAATCACCACGCTTGCTCAATGCGGGTTGGCGATTTCAAACTTATAATTAGAAATTATAAGTCCAGGTTTCCTCACGATGTTTACCTTCACCGTATGTCAGAGGTGTCTAAATAATCATAGAATGTACATATAACTCGGAAAAAGTCACATTGGTACTTGCCAGGTTTCGAACCCACGCCCGCATGCATGAGAAGCGGGCTCCTTAACCTCCGGGCCACCACGACACCTCCGGACCACCACGACACAATACACAAAAATCTAAAAATGGACCAAGTACATTGGTAGCGACATCTACCGCACAAGACGCAGCAACATCATCGTCATTCAAGATTCTACATCGCGGTACGCAATAAGAACAAAATCCCGACAACAACAGTCGGGCAGTAGCCCACCAGACTCATCACCTCGTCTGGTTGAAGGATCCGCCCTTTTCAAAGGAGGATGAGGAACTTTACATCCTGTTCTCGTATCCTTCCAAAACGTTTTCGAAAAAAGAGTCTAGAAAGACAGTGAGTTGCATGTCTTGGGAGAGTCAAGCTTCGGCACGAATGGGTCGGCTCGACCGGAGTAATATCACGGCCTCACAGAAAACCGGCGTGAAACAACCACAACATTGTGTTTCGCCATGTTAGTGAGGTTACCAGAGGCCCAATCCCTTACCCCGCTCTTAACCCATCCCAATCCTTAAATATCCGCAACTTTTAACCCCAAAAGGTCGGCAACGAACTCGTGACTCATTTGGTGTTGCCATTGGCTGTCCGTGGGTGGCGCCGATTGGTTACCATCAGGTAATCTGTCTGCTCGTTTGACGACTTATCCCATAAAACCCCGACACGTCATGACCCTCACAACTATATTTTGTGAGGGTCGCGTGGTCGGTGTGTAACATATAGGACCACACACAACTATAATTATAAAATAACCCGCAACATGTACTACAGCACTTTTCACTAAAATCAACAGTATTGGCTGTTAATGGCATGATAATAATAATAAATGTGACAGATAAGTGCATTTTCCCGCTCAAAGAATGTAGGTAACGTTCATTCAAAAATATGAAAAAGCTCTAGCGTTTTAATTTAAATACTAGTTACCAAAACCTTAACATAAATCGCCATATCTTAATTTTATATAATTATTGCCTTTATATATTTCCTCTAATTTCATCACACTCCATTATTTTAATTCAAATTGATGTTTTACGCTTCGTTTCATTTCTGGGCCTGTCAAAGAGTAAAGTCTACACTTAAGTGATTCTTTATGGTCAGTGTTTATGGTAATAAATAAATTATTGTTGTGTGATTATGTAAAGAGGTTGCATATGACTTAATATTGGGCTTACGAGAACAGCATTATGAATAAGTATAATCAGCCGGATACCTGATATCTCATTAAAACTGACTTTTGTTCTAAAAATCAAGAAAATATTAAATTCAAACAAACAAGGCTGACACTCCCTCTGATTGTGATAAAAAAATATTAATTTAAATTTATTAAAATATATTATTTTATTTTCCAGCCCTATGTTACTTATGTCTGAAAATCTATAAAGGTTTTACGTACGATACAATGTTAAGGTAGGTACTGTATAACATTTATGTTTTCCTTATATCCTGATTATTTTTATTATTTAGTTAACATACCAAAATGACACTAAATGACAAAAGACGCATACTAGCATGTTTTCGAGTGACGTAATCGAAAAAAAAAAACTTTTTGACATCGTTTATAAATGTATTGAATGTGATTGAGTATTGACTACATACCTACTAGATATGTATATTATGTAATGTAATACATAATAGATAAGTAAATGCCTCAGTGACACATAGGTACAACAAAAACAGAATAGCTTTCTGTAAAAAACGAAAGTGCGAAACATGTGAAATACTATATGAGGGGTGTAATTTCAAAACCCTCTAAATCATTCTCAACAAATTTTTCACAAGAAGACTATTTTGTCTATATTGTTCTTAACTTAATGCAAATGACAATATTTGATATTAATTTGTTTGTCATGTAATGGCAATCCTAAAAAACGTAAAAAATCTAAAATATCCATGTGCATTTTCAATCAAATTAAAGATTAAAATTTACTATAGAGGAGTTTGCAAGCAACTTGCCATTTTAGCGGATTTCGAAAATTAGCTATCATACCATAGAGGGTTTTGCATCTAACCTTATACTGCTTGATGGATGACATTATGCAATAAAGTAGAAATTTTACAGTACGTTTTTTTAATCTTAGGCCAATGATTTGACAAGTTGAAATGTCAATCTATAACAAGAGTGGACTTTTTTCTGTATTTTTTTGTAGTTCGACATTTCATCTAGTCAAATCGTTGCCTAGGATTAAAAAAACGCACTGTACTGAACTTTGCAATTGAAAGTATGTAAAGCTAAGGTGTAAAATCACAAAACAAACTACAAAATGCGTAGGTATTAAATACTTTTAATGAAAAATAAAAATTAAATATGTACAGATACATCTTCGAAGCCATGCTCACAAAGGTCATTACAGAAGTCATTATTAATATCAGCATCGGGTATGCGAGGCAGGTTTTCAATATCAACATAGTATTTTAATTCCGGTAAATTTCTCCATTCATGACCGAAATGCTTTTGAAGTAAATCACTCACATCATTGGCTTTGCTTTCTTTGGGTAAAATATTGGGGGTTATGGTCAGAGGGGTAATCATAGTTATTTTTTTTTTTTTTTTTTTGTAATATTTTTTTGTTATTAATTTCATTCCGGTAGGTCTCTTCTCCTTGGACCAAGATGTTCTCGGTTTTAGTACGAGTTAGGAAAAATCGTTTACTTCTCATGAATGGAAAGTGCCAGGATGAAGTAGGTTTTATCACGGGCTCATAAGCAGCTTTCCAATCGTAGACTGGTATCGTTTTTAGATCAATGCATGTTCCATTTTCCTGTAATACTTGCGTGTATTCCGAGAAAGAAACAATAACTTCTTTGGTTCTCAATGTCTTTTCAATTTTCGCAAAGACCCGGTCGGGAGGAATGAAGCACTCCTTCATTCCTCCCACTGGAAAAATTATTTCAATTTTTTTAACATTGCGGGGTGCTTCACTGTATAGCCATTTTCCAAGCATACTGATCATTCCCGTATTTTTGTTTTGTCCGGAACATCCGTCACAAACTAT